GACGACTACTGCTACTGCTACTACGACTACTACTACTAGTACTACTACTACTCCTCCTACTACTACTACTACTACTACTACTACTACGACTACTGCAATTACGCGGCTCCTATTACAGCCTCTACGACAATTGTTGTTGGTTTCCATATTCGTAGATCGGCATTGAGACGCCGCAGCTCTCCTTTGCTATGGTGGACCCTCAAGATCGGCTATGGGAAATGGCCTCTCAGACGAGCTACTTGGCAGCACGTGCGGCCGATCTTCGCAGACTGCTTATTTCCGTTTTCTCCCTGAATCAGGGTGCTGTAAGATTCCTCAAATGATATCGTCTAGTGTGTTCAACTCAACTTATTGGAGCTGTCTTGGTGAGTTCGTGATGTGTTGTGCCCGCTCAGTTTCTGGCCAGTTGTCAGCAAGTGCCTGGCAGTTTGAATGGCCAGCGGATTTTCGAGGATGGGGAATCGGTGTGTCGAGAACTGCACTCAGGATGAAGATGAATAATCTCAAAAGCAGTGCAAGGCACAGACACAGTTGAAGTTGCGAATTTGCCGCGAAATCAATGTTGTGCCCGGGATAGCACGGCCCGGCTCTCGTGTGGCTGGGGCCCTGCGCTTAGACCCAAGTGCTTGGTAATCATATCCCAGCACGAGTTCTTCCATTTTTTTGCATGGCGGTTTCCAGCTCCAGGAAGCACGCGAACAAACAATGGATGGAGCCCGGCGGGCCTTTATTATTTTTGTTCCTCGCCCCCCCGCTGGCATAGTTGCATAATTACTAATTTTGTCCCCAGTCTCCAAATAATAATAGTGCTTGCAGGGCGGGAGGAGATGGAACACAAATAATAAAGGCCCCCCAACTCTTCCCCCGTCCCGTCCCAAATAATAGTAGTGCAAGGGGGGGAGGAGGGAGAAAAGAAATAATAAAGGCAGCCCCACCCTCCAGCCCGCCCCCGTTCCCCTCCTCCTCTCCCTTCCTAGTAACGGCAGCCCTGCCTCTCCTCCTTGCCTTCCTTTTTTTGCCTCTGAGTTCTCCCTCCTTGTCCCTCCCACGCCCCCCTCTCCCCACCCCCCCTGCCCCAGCCTCCACTCCTCCTCTGCCAGAACCCTCCACTTCTTGTGCTCTGCCACTCGCCCTCCTCCTCTCCCACTCACTTCCGACCCTCCTGCCCCTCCCCTGTTCCTCCTCCGCTGCGAAATCATGTTGTTGCCGCTTGTCACCACCCCCCCAGAGACAGAGAAATGCTTTCGTGTGCGCCCTCCCCAGCTCCTTCAGTTGTTTGCTCTTTTCATTACCTGCCTTACCCTTAAACTCGTTGTCCTTCTGTTCATTCTTTATCTCTTTCTTTGTTTCTTTCTTCATTTCTTGCCTCTGTCTCTGTCCGCGACGAGCGTTCTGTTGGGTCTGTCGTCGAGGTGTTGGTTTCTGCAGCAAAAGTTAGTGACGACCTTGCAGCCTCAGCCGCAGCCGCACTACTCAGCTGATATTTGTGCAGCCGTGTCCGTGATTCTTGGTACGTGCTTGTGTTTGGGCCGGCATTTGTCCGTGCGCTGTGTTCCAATTGCCGTGCTGGTGATGACATCGCTGTCATCCTACTTCGTGCTAGTAGCTGCTAGTTTAGGCGGCTGCCTGATTGTTCGACATGTGTTTCTTGCACGCTCTCAGGTCTGGCTTTCCATCAAGCTTGAGGTCATGCCGTTGTTCGGTGAAGCCTGGTAGACACGATGCGGAGGTCGACGATGACGTGGATTTGGCTGGGGATGAAACGATGGCGTCAATACCGACAAAAAGAGCATGTGCAGCCCAGGAGCCTCGCAGCATGCTGTTTGTTGCATGCGCCCGTGTCTTCGCATTTTCACTAGCTTGTTGCAGTGTTGTTGGTATGAACTGCAAGGATCCTTGCCCGTCTCGGTATGCGGATGTTGTTATGCACGCGCATATATATATATACATATATATATATACACAGATATTTTTTGTTTTCGTTTTTGATCAAGGTGGAATGATGTCGTTCGGGTCCGAGTCAGTTGACTAGGCAGCACGACGGTCTTGTTTTGCCTGAACGGTCTCTGAACACTCAATTCTGCCTGGCATTACAGGAGTTGGACAGCCCGGTCCAGCCGGCTTCTTCACTGTGCCTCCGCTCAGCAAGTTGTTTTAGTAAGCAGTGTGCCGCATGAAAGCGTCAACGTTTGCTTGTTTCGTGTTGTCGAGGTCAACACCTTTGCAGCTGGTGGGCAGTGGGGCCGGTGTCGGACCTGCTCCTCCTCCTGCAGTCCAGGTCGTGGAAGCGCCCCCAAGTGTCTCTGCTGCAGCTCTATGAGCTATGAGCACCCAGCAGCCGATTCAAGCACTGGACCTGGTTGGAGGAGTGGATTCAAGCACATGCGATTCAAGCACCAGCGATTGAATCACGCGAGCGGTTCGAGCACGCGCGACTCAAGCTCTCTCGATGCAAACGCCACGCCATTAAAACACTCAGTGTTTTACGGATTTGGAGTTTTACGGTTTGGGTATCACGATGCAGCCCTGCGGATTTGGGAACTCTGCAGCACACTCTCGCTTTGGGGCATTGGGCTTGCCACTACTTCTACCCTGTTGGAGTGTTGGTTTTGGTGAACAGTGACTCCTGAACATCGAGCTTGCATTAGCTCTCGGGCGAAGGTCCCGGAACCCTGCCGGCCAGCGTGGAGGTGCCAACAGCAATAGCTGCCAACTTTCGTTCTGCACATGTGAACGCATGCCGACATGGTGAGTGGCAAGACATCCGTCCTCCCCAGGTCTCTCCGGCGGGATTGCAATGGCGATCAAAATCGAAGCTGTCAGCAGAGATTGCTGCGAACGAGCAACTCGCACTAGATTGTGTGACGCATCGCTCTAGTTTCCGGTGCATGGGGATCAGACATGGCGAGACTGAACGGGCGCAGTAATGCATGATGGCGATGGCGGATAAGGCTGTCGAGACAAGCCTCCATGCCAGAAACGCTTGGATCGAGAACAGAGAGTGCTGCAAGCAGCTGTCTTCCATCACCGGGTATTGGTGAGCAGGTCGTCGAAGCTCGGAAGCACAGCTGCTGAGAAAGTGTGAGTTCGGAAGCCACGTCTTTCGCTTAGCATTTCGTCCACCATACCATACACTCCTCGCAATTCTCTGATTTCGAAAAGGAGCAGTTGTGCAAACCGGCTTCAGCCAAGCATTTAGCTGGAGAGCGGAAGACGTTAGGAGCGCTGTGCCAATCAGATGATGTGAGGCAAGTGTAGTTGGTTCTGGTCTCCCAGAGCAAACACTTTTGGATTCTTGTGAATGTAATTTGTCATTTTCTTCTGAGCGTCTCTTATTTTGTGGATGTTTTAAGACACGCCTGAGGACATCACCGTGCAGACGTCGTACGAACCTTGGTTGAAATTCAGCAAGCAGAGAAGAGAAATGCCGCTTCGACCGTAGAAGGTCGGGAATGTCCTTTTCAGAAAGGTACTTCGTGGGTATGATATCACTTTTCATTCAAGGCTTCACGTAAAGACCGAGCATGTGGAATCGAGATGTGACACTAGCGGGGGAGACTGACAGCCAGCCATCCAGATGGACAGACAGACAGACAGACGGACGGACGGACGGACGGACGGACGGACGGACGGACGGACGGACGGACGGACGGACGCACGGACGCACAGACGCACGGACGGACGGAGACAGAGACAAAGAGACGGCACCTACAGCCACCGCACGAAAGGGCCACCTTACCGTGGCACCCGCCGGAACCGACCGCGTCGGCAAGCTCGGGGACAGTCTTGTGGAGCCCAGCAAGCGCCCGTCAACAGCAAACCCGACGACACGACAGCGACGAACAGGCACTGAGACCGAGGACGAAATGTGGGACCACAAGCTCCGACGACGAAGCCATGCAAAACCCGGGCACAAAGGCCCTAGCCTGGCCGAGCCAGCGCCGGAACCAACGACGGGGGCCACTGCAGCAACGGGGGCTACGGCGACCTCGACCTCTCCTGCACGACCAAGGACACCGCCAAGTGCAAGACAACAGCTGGGGCGCGCAGCCCAACTGAGGGACAAATCTAAAGGGAGCGAAGACGCCATGAACCCGCTGGGCAAGACCCATAGAAGACGCCGCATACATGCAGCCTTTGACGATAGCTAGCCGCAACTAGCCAAGGGCCTCCCTGCTGTCTGTTTTGAAAGGGGATTTTGTCCTGCATAGATCCCACCAAGGTTACATGCATCCACCACTTCAAGTGCTGAGGGTTCCCAAGAGTTGTGACAGGAAAAAAGGAGGACGGTGTTCCCGAAAACTTGTTTCCCCTACTCCGTTTGGTTGGAACCTCACTCCCGTGTTTCCTGGTTTCACCAAGATCGAACATGTGCTCCTACCTACCTTGTAGCCACAGCAGGTTTAGTCTGTACCTAGAACAGGTAGAAGGACCCCAGTAGAAGACAAGCAACTAGGTAACAACACAGGGGCCAACACGACGAGCCCAGTGGCATGGGGACCCTAGTGTTTCCCCTTATCGTGTTCAGCAGGAACCTGACCCCGATGCTGCCACACCCCAGGCCCATGCCATACAGAGCTCGAAACGAACACAAAGAAGTGGGGGACACAGGTCGTAGATGTCGGGAGCCTAACTCTTCCTAGCTCCACCTGGGTCCTTAGCACCCGTAATGCAGCTCGAACGTGTTTTGCAACCACAAGAACCTCCCGACATGTACATCCGCAATGACGGGGCTACTAGTACACAACCGTGCTTGTGAAAACCGATTCCCTAGCAGCCGAGGGCCTCAACTACTAAGGACCACTAAAGACTTGTTTCGTTCAAGGAGGCTGCGAGGGGGGTCGGGGCTCACAACTAACTCTCACGCCGACCAAACCAGACACAGACATTGCGCAGGGGGCTGGGGGGCGCATTCCTCCACCCCCAAACGCCGTGCAAACAAACAAACAAACAAACAAACAAACAAACACACGAACAAAAACACAAACAAACAAACAAACAAACAAGCAAGCAAGCAAGCAAGCAAACAAACAAACAAACAAGCAAGCAAGCAAACAAACAAACAAACAAACACAAGCAAACAAACAAACAAACAAACAAACAAGGACAGATAATTAAGCGAAACAAGAAGGGAAGGCAACTTCGACATGCAGGGGCGGCTGGCATCCGCGCATCCGCAACCAAGCACCCTGAGGATGAGTACGATCCAGCAACAAGGACGAAGGTCACGAAGAACATGGGTGGCGACGTCTTGCGGTCCAGGCGCAAGTTGATCCGGAATGACACAGACAGCGGCTCTTCGTCAGCATCTGAATCTGTCCAGACCGACGGAACCAACTCAGCAACTTTTAGTCAAGTGCTCCTTGGATGCATGCTCAACTTATTCCTTTTTTTGAATCTGATCTTCCTTGTTTTTGGAAATTCATGTTTTGGTCCATGTCCTAATAGCAACGCTCCTGGGCAGTCAGTGCATGAACCGTTTGCAGACTGGCACAGTAGCGCAGCTCCAACCTGTATACAATCAGACTCTGATTGTGCATCACAGCGTGACTCCGCTCGTTTGCTTAACTGATGGCCAGATGGCTCGTTTGCTCTGAGGCATGGTGAGCAAGATGCAATCACCAACTGGGGGGTGCTGATCGGCAAAGCCCTGTGGTGCCGCATGAAGGGGCAAGGGCAGCAGGGGAAGCGTCCGGAGCTCAGAATTTGCACACAATGCCGAGGCCACCTACTCGGTCCTTTTTCCTTCAAGTCCAAAACGCTGGTCCTGTGTTCAATACTCGTAACACTCAACCCGGTGTGCCCTCAATTGAAACATATGCATCGACAATCCACGTCGTAGGCTGAAAACGCTTCAACAGTCTATGGGTATCTTCTGAACTGCATTGTTATGTAGGCCCAGAACTTGCCAGGATTGGCACTGAAGCTTGCATTCCTGGCTTTCTTGCAAGCTTGTCTTTCCCCGCCGTTTTGAATGGCATGGGCAAGCGGGACATGCTCTCCGGCAGGGCTTACTTTGACTGTGCTTGATTGCTGGCGGCTGGCAGGGTTGAGATGTGTGGCGTTCATGCTGCCTATGCCCCTTTATGCAGAGCTGCTTAGGCAGTACACCTTCACTGAACCACATTGAAACTTTGAAGAGCACCGCCGAACCGTGTTGATGGGAGCTGTTGTTTGTGGGAAAGTCATCCGAAAATTGTGGGTTTCGGTGTCTCGAGGCGGATGGGCTTTCGTTGGGAGATGGTGCCCGTTTTTCAGTCTCACCGGCTGGCGCTGTGTACACTCTTCCCTTTGATGTCATGGCCGGTGCGGCCACAGTTACCAGATGCTCAGCACAGATTTCACTAGTTGCCGCCCACGGGGGGCACCGTGGCAGACCCTGGCGGTTTCAAGAGGCACGTTTGAGTTGACTGAAAACCTGTTCTCAGTCCTTGAAGCGATCCACAGTCAAACTTCGCTGCGGGGTGTCCTCCGAGCTGTGCTTCTGTGAGTAGATTGTCTGAGCTTATCTGGATTGCACGAGAGTTGCAGTTCCGAAAGTGAGGTCGCAAACTGGGCCTCCTAGCGGTCGCCTTAAATGGCAGCACCTATCTCAACCGCTTCACGGCTGTCTCGAAGGATGCCAAGACTCTATGCCAGTGTTTAGCAATGCCGTTGTTTTTGTGCCCTAAAGCTAAGAACGCCTCTGTCACTTGGGATTTTCAGCGTCTCCGGAAGTTGCTTTTATGTGAGCCTTGCGTATTGGATAGCAACTCACTTTGCAGTCCAATTCGCGCGAGCGTGTTGAGAAGCGAACCATCGCTCCGTGCCGTCACCTCATGAGTCCAAGACCTTAGAAAAGGGTGAAATGTGTCGGAGTGTCAGAGCCTGCATAAACTCTCCAGTTTCAGGCCGCCCTCGAAAGGTCCTGGCCGTGGCGTGACGCGTCGGGCTGCTACCGTGGTGAGTCAACTCCAGGAGGGGGGAGCCCAGAATAGCATACTTCCACTACTCTACAATGTCGTCAAGTCCAAAGAACCTTGCAGGGTGTGCCGATGTGACTCTGCAGCAAACCAAGTTCCAGCTTAATACATTATGGGTTCATGGTTTCTGCAGTTGAGTTTGATGGAGCCTAGATTTTTGAATTTCTGCATAGAAGCTCATTGAGTGAGATCTTGCGAGGCTCCGCAACTTGAATGTGTGATACCACCTCAAGGTTGTTCAAACTTCCGGGCCACATCGGCAAAGGCTTATGACCACCAGGTAGGCCCAAAGAGGATGTGTGGCCAGCAATCGCCTTAGTCTAAGACTCTAGGGATGTTCAGGGACATCATGCAGCAAGTGTCCTCGCTTCGCGACTTTCGTCTCAACCGCAGGGACCCCGGTCCCCGAGAAAGGCTCTTGCAGCGAACCGTCCTCTGCTTGCGGGTAGAACACGGTGTTTTCAGTTTCTCCCTGTGAGGAGATGGTGAAGCGAGTCTCTTGGATTGCACTTCATACAGGCAGATTCTGGCGCAGGTTGATAGTCAGCACGTTCTGTCTCGAATGTCTGTGGACCTTACCTGCATTCAGTGTAGCTTAGGTTGGAAAGGAGGAAACCGACATGAATGATGGTGAGTGGCGGGAAGACACAATGAACTTCTTGTTCAGCCCCTCAGCAGACTTGCTGCACTCCTCCCACCGGTATGTTTGTAAGCTATTCAATCTAACGAGCCGCAAGAAACACGTGGTTGATCGGCTGCCTTACTGGAGGAAGGGCCGTGGCAGTTTTCTGACTGAAAATTGATTCATCCTGACTCAATCTCTGGGCTGAATCAGGTGCAGACTACACTGACACCCTCATGATTCTGGCCAGTGGGGTTCGGCAGCTGCTGCAGACAGAGCCCACAGTCGTGCAAGTACCGCAGCCTTGCAAAGTGTTTGGTGTGCTGCTCAGTTGATCTCACACCTTGTCGGCTTGTGCAGAGACCTCGACTTTTCCACTTCATATTGTGCTCCCGCAAGAAACAGAGCCGCCGATACCTAGCAGGGGAGGCGAGTATGGTCATGGCCTTCTTTAGTGGCCAAAGCCTGGAGGTACGAGTGAGATGGCAATGTCAGCTTCCGAGGCGACATTCATGGTCAGCTTCGTGATTTGCTGCTGCTGTTTCATGCATATGGGAGCCCTGGAGCCGACAAGCACTTCGTTTTCAACGGAGATTTCGTTGATCGTGGTGCTCACCAGCTGGAGGCTTCTCAACTGATCTAACCTTGACAATGTTTACCTAGAGGCTCTTTCCTTGAATTTGAAGTGTCCCTCAGCATTCTTGGCTTTGTGTGCAATTGCACTGGCTTTCGTGCAGGTTGTCGGAGTACTCTTTGCCCTCAAGCTCACCTTCCCATCGCATGTCTGGCTGGTGCGAGGAAACCATGAAGACTTGCTGATGAATCGAGACCTGGCTTAACACTTCACAGCCGGCCGTTAAGGAACAGGAGAGCTCAGCCTTCGAATTCACATTGGCAGGGCATCGGGGATGTAGGCGAACCTTCGGTGACAGGGGTTGTGCCCACAAGCAAGCCGACCGGAGCAATGCGTGATTTTTCGTTCGCCTATGACCCGTGCAATTGCACTTCGGGTCTTAGCTCTGCTCGGCTTGGTGTCGGTTCCAGGCAAGTATGGCTTCGAAGAGGAATGCCAGGAGAGCTTGGGATCTGCGAATGGTCCCAAGACTTTCCAACTCTTCCAAAAGGCCGGGAGTTTCGGACGAGTTGTTGCGTGCGGCTTTAGTGAGTGGTTCTGGGTGTGCATTTCTATTGAAGGCATGTTGCTGGAGGGACGGGGCATAAGACAACCTGTGAGGCCTTCGAGTGGTTGCCTTTGGCCTGTCTCATCGATGACCAGATCTTGACAGTTCATGGTGGACTTGGAGATGGCAAGTGGACAATCGCTGAGCTCTCTTGCGTTCCCCGGCCTCTAAACTCGGAAGACTTCCACACGCCAGAACGGAGATGGCTTTACAACATATTGTGGTCGGATCCTATACCAGAGGATGAGGCTATGAATGAGGCCGTGGTGTTTGGTGTTCACAGCTCACCCCGCAATGCATCTGCAGTCAAGTTTGGTTGGAATGTTACCAAGACATTCTGTGCTTTGAATGGGATTGGCTTGGTCATTCGCAGCCATCAGTGCCTCGAGCAGGGCCGCGGGTTCGAAATCATGCACGAGGACAAGCTAATGAGAGTATTCTCCGCTCGTGACTATGAGGAACATCGTAACGATGCTGCAGTGCTGGCCATTAAGCGCAACGGCGGTGCTTCCGCACCGCAGCTCTTAGTGCGTGCACAGGTGTTGAAATCTCTAGAGCGCTTCCGCGGTGCTCAAGTCAACGGAGTATAGGCCCTGAAGAGAGCCAAAACTTTCGCCACGGAGGAATTCGGAACACGACGTTTAAGACATATATTTCGTCTCCACTGACTGGAAGAGTTTCTTTCAGAGCAAGCTGGATCGACTTTGAGGTGTTGTGTCGTAGGAGACTATTGACATGGTAAGTGCAAATGTTGCATTCGTGGAAACTCGTCCGGAAGAGAAGTTGTTTCAGGGCAACTTGCTTTCGCTCCGTGAAGCTCGTGAGTAAATGAAAGTCGGTCTGGGCGTCGACCCCGAAATACCCCGAAGTGCAGTGGTAGTGCTCCCTATGCTGTGAAGAGATGTCTGGCCTGGAGGTGTTTTGTTCAATTAGCCGTGCAGTCGGGGACGCCGTCCAGGTCCTTGCGTGCAGAGCGCAGTCATGCGAGCACAAATCTGCTGCCAGTTTGGTAGATGCTGCGGTGGCACCACGGTCCAACTGACCACTTGCCGAGATGCAGTACGCAACCTCAATGGGCCAAAGAGCTGCTCAAAGAGCACGACTTGCCCCCGAATTCAGTGTTTTCCGCCAGCTTTTGCAGTACCGAGTCTGAGGGACCAGCAGTTTGGCTACTGTACTCTTCGTGTGCTGCAAGGCAGCTGTCTGCTTGTTGACCCGTGCTTGGACAACATTGTGCGCTGCTGATGTGTGGAGGTTATCAGCAGTACTTCGCCAGAGCCAACTTGTCAACCTCCTCCTGCTCCTCCTACTCATGTGTTTTTTTTTCTCTCTGCATTCTCCGAAGTTGAAATTCAGACTGATTTTCCACGCTGCCCTGAACTTACCAGGCTCTTGCGGCTTCGCTGGCAGTGCTGTCCCTGGCCGCCAGACTTCAGGCACGCTGGTACACGCAGCTCTGCACCATACACCACGCTCGCTTCAGCTTCAGCTTCCGGCATTTTTCAGAGGAAGCTGCGCAGACGGCCGCCGGACTGCGAAGCTTATCTCAGACGTCGGGGAGCCCATTCGGCTGCTACCGTTCCAAGCCTTGCCTCATCGAGCACTATAAAAAACCCCAAGCATTGGGGCAGGTGTGCCACATACCAACTTAGAAAACTTTTGCCAAGTGAGAGGAAAATCCAGCAGGGATGGAAGTCGGTACACTCCGAAGCTTTGCGACACCCGAACATCCGAGTTGCTGAGCGCCGGCTTGAGCGGTGCATGTTGCCTACTGTCAAAGCAACGTTGGACCTGTCCATTTTTTACATGATTCAACAGGTCTTCCTCCTGAAGCTCTGCGTATTTCCACCACAGGTTCGAAGGGGCTTCGGCCTTCCCCAACACAACTGATACCTTCACTTTGACGTGGGAAGACTTCATTTTTACCAACAGAAAGAGAGTCTTCTCAAACGTCCCATCCTCATCCTCATCCTCCTCATCGTCCTCATCCTGACCTCCTCCTCCTCCGCCGCCTCATCGTCCTCTGAGCTCCTCATTCGTTGTCTGCCATGCAGTGTTTTGCAGTCACGTCTAGCTTGTCCCATATATGCAGTGTCCTACGATTTCGGTCACTGGCTGTGTCGGTATGCAGCTGTCCCGGTCCTGGTTCTTGAAATTCCAGCGTCTGTTGTCGGGTGTCCCGTTGTCACGGGGTTTTGATACCATGTCCAAACTCTACCATGTTCGCCGTCATGGTGTCTCCGAGTTTCACTGTGCAGTTTATCCTGTGTGCCCCGATGTGTCCATTTCAAGGTGTTCCAGCTGTCATGTGTCCAGTTTACTGGTCTGTTGTGTCGGTTCGCGGTGTCTCGGTGTCTCGGCGTTGCAGTCTCGGTGTCGTGGTATCCCTTCTGCTCCGTAGCCTGACCCCGGTGTCCAGTTTCCCGTTTCAAGTTTATCCGGTGTCCCGGTGTCCCTGTCTCCGTATTCGAGTCTCGCCAGATGAAGGCTCGTTTTTCGAAACACAGACCTGTACATCAGCTAGGGCGGTCCCTCAGCTGTCAATAGCGGCTCTACGGCTGGGGCTTGAGCCCAGAGCTTCAGCCTTAAATCGTCCAGTTGTCGTCGGCAGATACCGCCTGGGCAGTTCCGAGGTTGGACAGCAACATCAGCTATGCAGAGGTGGGACTTCGATGCCGAGACTTGATTGCTTCTGGCAAAGCATGCGGCATAAAGTGGCACTGTCCGCAATTGGTGGGCCTAGGTTAGTCAGGCATCAGGTAACCACAATCCGTGCACCTGGCAGCTTTTGAAGGTCTGCATGCTGAGCCATGGCTGCCGCCTGCTTGAAGGTGCTTCGGCTCCTTGGCCGTTCTGCTTTTCTTGCATAGAACCGAGTTCATGAATGGCAGCCGCAGGCCCCCCAGGATGGAACATAGATGGCTCTAAAACCTTTACTCGAGAGCTCTCGAAAGACTTCCAAGCCTAGTCAGGGCCACAGACTTTCTTGCGAAGCTTGTTTCACGAAACAAGGCAAGTTTATGAGCTCCTGCAGTCTTTTCCTGTAAGTTGTCAGAGGACGCGGTTCTAAGAAGGTGTCTGACAATTAGCTGGGAGGGCCGAGAGGTGTGTGCATCGCAGTGTCGTATCGCTGAACCTTAGGTTGTTCTCTTGTGCAAGGTTGTGTTTATACCAGGTGGGTGGTGATCTTGAGCCTGAAACCAAGGATGCAGCGCGCGTGGCGGGTTATATCGCGCCCGGAGCCTCGACACACATGCCGCCAAGCACGGCAGGCAGGCCTGGGCCGCCTCGGCCGCCTTGGCCATGCTGTTTTGTCCCAATGCAGTATGCGAAGCGATCACGAAGTTGATGCAGGCAGCGTGGAAGGTGCTCTGGTGCGGCGAAGCTGGCTCTTGCCTTACGTGTGCTTCTTTCTGCTTATCGGAAAGGAGCCCAAAGAGTAAATTTGCTTGTTTTGGTGCTTTTTTGGGCCTCCCCCCGTTTCCCGGTGGCTCCGACATGGCGAGCCAGGGAGGGCAGGCATTTCTTCAATTCTCTGCAGGTTGCAGAACTTCACGTGCCAGCCCAGCCGCCAAGCGAGTGCACTTCTACAAGACAAAACCAAGCAGAACAGCAACTCACCGACAACCTATACAGCGGACTCAGTCAAGTCACATTGGTTGTGCATAGGGCATATAGGGTGCAGGCACGAAGGACTTGGACGACACGAGTGCACCACCTACAACCAACATGGAAGTCACCCGGTCATTACTCTTGGTTGCCTGCCAGCAAGAGGGTTCGTGTCAAAATGCTGTCTACCTGTACTCACAGAGAGTGGACCGACAGTCGGCAGTTGAGCAGCTTCCCACAGCAAAGGTCACAGACTACCAACACATAGTGGTTGACATGACATCACTGCCAGATGTGTCGTGTGGGTTCAATCCCCCGCCTTACACCACATACAAGATAACTCTAACTGTAACTCTAACTCCAACTCTAACTCTTACTCTCTCTCTCTCTCTGCCTCTCTCTCTCTCTCTCTCTCTCTCTCTCTCTCTCTCTCTCGCTTTCTGTCTTCTCGCTCACCCCTGCTTATGCACTCAAACAGGCCATCTCGCTGAGAATTATTGAATTCTCTGCGCTTCTGGCCGTCGAAACTTCGCTTAGATGTCATGTTATGCCGATTTGCCCGGGCTGGTCTCACGTCCCCACAAAGCCCACAGACATAGGAGGGGCCCTGGTGGCCGGAGGACCTGACAAGTCTCTCAAGTGCTAGAGACGAAGAAGAAGATAGAATGTCCAGAAGAAGAGAAGGAGAACGATGTCAAGCTTCGAAAGCTCAAAAGTGTCAGATAGATTTGGCACTATTAAGGTAATTATAGCATGTGGGTTGTTTTAAACATGTCTGAGTCTGTTGAGTTGTGCTCTAGTCATGCAGTCGTGATTGCAGACGGAGATGTAAAGAAAGGTACAGATAGGATTTTGCGTTTTGCTTGAGCAGTGTTCAGACGTTTGGCTTCCCAGTCTTTGCGCCAGGGAATTCTTGAATTGCTGTATGCTGTAGCTTCAGGCTCAATGGCCACTTGCCGGGCCTGCCGTCTGCGCTGGAGGCCTCAGAACGGTGAGCGCTCGTCAATTTCAGCAAGTTTTCGCCGCGGCATCCGTCATGAGGCTAGGACCCCTGCTTCACTCCACCCTTCAAAGGAAGGTTGCTCCTGCCTTTGTTCTCAAGCCAGTTTCTATGAGTGAACAATGTCAAGGCCCTGCCAACCGCGAGAGCCGGATCAGTGCTCGGAAACATGAACAGAATCGGACACTAGCATACTTCTGCAACAGCATACTCCGTGGCATGGATGGCTGCGTCCTGGTGTCCAAAATGCCACCTGGTCGAGGCACTGCGGCATGCCACCTTGGTAGTTGTCGGGCTGCTGCCAGAAGCTTCCAGATCTCGATACTTTGTCCAATGACCCCTACGATTCGAGGGTGCTCAACAATATGAGGTGGGGGTGCGGGAGGGAAGCGGGACGTGAGGGCCTGGATGGTCGAAGAGTCGAAGGCTGTAAGTGCCAGGGAGACCTGGGTCCGAGCCAAGCACGGTGAGATATGGTGAGAATAAAAGGCGAGATCGCCGAATCCCGCGACCGCACCGGACCCTGCAAGTTTGGACGCCGCAGGTCGTCGTCGGCTGCAGAAGCCGCCTTTCCGGTGGGCGCTTGTGGTGCTGTTGCTTTGCTCCCTGTGGCAAGTCTCAGTCTGTTGCCTAGCGACGAGGGGCCAGAGCTTTCTGACATGTCCTGAGCATCCCATAGGAAAGCTCAGCGGCCAAGGTCAGGAGTCATGGATTCGCGGCACCACCTGCGAGCCGGTTTCGGCAAGGCTGGGTCGTCAAGGTGCGCCCGGGCATTTGCGGGGGCTGTCTTTCCAACCTGGCTTTGAGGGCCGGCCCATGACAGGAACGGATTGGGGGGGGCTCGAAGAGGTCTCTTGCCCGCTCACTGCATCGTTTCTCTAAGTGTCAGCAAGGCCGAGCCTGACGAAGTGGAGGGAAGGAGAACTTCTCGGAGCTCACTTTACTTCCTCGCTGTGAAGGCTTGAAAGGATCGAAGGGTATCTTGAGCGGCTCGATTGCTCGGCGGGATGGTTCCATGCAGGATGCCATCTACACGGCACTTTTTGGTGCTCCGGAGATCCATCCTGAAACATCCTGGGATGGTGTGGGTGTGCCTCGGATTTCAAAACGCGCAGCGACCCAGGAACAGACCTGCAGGGACGATCCCGCATCTTGTTGCAGCAGGTGCACATCGCATGCAGGTCCTGCAGGTACCAGTCGTAACCACAAGCCAGCCTGCATCTGATCTCAGCCGCAAGGGTACGCTTGCCAATGTTACTGCATCGGCGCTGCATGGGGCGGCATCAGGTGCCAAGGCAGATCGGGTAGGCTGTGCCCTTTGCCTCTTTCTGGATGTCTTTTTTGGATTGCTGCCCCATCAACCGGACTGCCGAAGCTTGTCGGTGATTCGTCCGGCTCTGCCATGGGCTATGCTCTGCCAGGGTGCCCTGCATTCCGCCAGCTCCTCGCTGTTGGGCGGCGCGGCTTCCGGGCTGAAGGTGCTGCGGATGGGCAGTCGCAATTCTGTTGTCTAGGGCAAGCTGCACTCGTGTTCGGTAAATCGACAGCTCTTTCGATTCACATCTTTCTATCGAGTCCTAGACTTCAGCAGGGCAGGGGTGGCTAGCAAGCAAGCTCGAGTTGCACAGAGCAGCAAGAGGTTCAAGCCAGGCCTGCCGCCCGGCCCACCCCCCCCCGCCCCACAGCCCTCCGCGCCCCGCCCACCACCCATCATCCCGTGCCAGCAGCACCTACAGACGGTGCTCATGCTCGAGTGCGAAGCCTTTACAGCATCCGGAACTGCAAGGTTTTGTTGGTACCCGGGGAGCGATTATGCTCGGTTGTGCATGCATCGCTTTACGAATTGCAGGTTGAAAATGAATCCACGGGAGTAGGCTGCATCTGCGGGAGACAGTGTTGGCTTGGCTGGCCGTGAGCCTGAGCTGACAGGTCATTGAAAGCACAGCTGGCTCCGTGACCAATTGGACATCCTCCAAGGCCCAGGAGCGGAGGGTATCCAAGCCAGGTTCATGACTTTATGACCGCACGACTTCTTTTTCCGACATTCGTGCTTCTTTGCTTGTGATTCGTTCGTTACTCAAGTTGCGCTCGGCTCTCTGAGACTGTTGTGGTGCAATGTGCCCCGACACGAAACGGGCAAGCTGAGACGTCATGAGAGCCAGAGCTCGATTGGCATTTTGCGCTCTCACCACTTGGTGGATCAACATGCTGCAGCTGCGAAATAGCTTCGCTCGCCTCCCACGAAGTTCTTTACAAGCTCCAATCAAATGGTCGCAGCCGCTTACGCTGCCATCCCGCTGGCTGAGCGCTTCAGTTCTCGAAGCAGAACCTCGGCATCTGTGTTTTCTTTGTGACACGGTTCATTGTTTAAGAACTCCCAAAATCGTCGCTAGGGCCTAGGGCCTAGGGGTCTTGTCCAAGAAACGTGGAGAAGGAGATTCAGAACGATGGCCTTGCGGACGAGCTGGCCCAAATCTGTTATGCCTTGGAGGCGAAAGGCCTGGGCCGTGCTGTCAGCAACGTGGGTGGCTTCCAAAGCTGCAACGTGCCTCTTGGAGAGCATCCCGTCCTGGCCGAACTCCTCTCGCTGGTACAGGCTCCGTTTGTAGGATTCCTGCATAAGACCCGACGATCCCAGCCTCCGTCGGGGCTTTCTGGCTCTGACCTGTGCGTGGGCTGCCAACCGGAGCATCTTTGGGTTAACGTCAACAGACCCGACAACCACAATTTGATGCACGAGCATGGCCCACCGCTCCTGTCACGTGCTGCATCAGGTATCTACTACCCGCATCAAGAAACAACAGCAGCACCGGCTGCAAAGGTCCGGTTTTATGATGCGGGCCGATGTGTGGAAGCTGTTCCTCGCCCTGGCTTGCTGCTGCTCTTCCCAACGAGCTTGCTGCACGAGGTGGACCCCGTTTGGCCAGGGGGCCCTCCACGCCTGTCAGTGGCATTCAATCTCTTTGTTCGATGGCTTGACACGCCAATCCTCAGTGCGTCCTGGGCCGGAAACGCCAAAGAAGTAAAGCGGCTGCTGGACAGTGGCACAGATGTAGATGCTGCAGATGCATCTCTTGGGTTTAGATCTGTTCACCTTGCAGCAGAGGCTGGTCACATGGATGTACTGGAGATGCTGATTCGGAGCGGCACAAACCCTCATGCTCTCACTGTAGAGGGCTGGTGCCCTTTGTCTTTGGCTGCAGCTCAGGGACATTTGAGGGTGGTGAGGTACTTGGTCGATCTGCAGGAAGCTCTGCCAACAAGGGCTTCTGTAGAGGCAGCTGGGGCGGACGACGTTGATTTGAGGCATGGCTTTGCTGGCTTCCAGGGGGCTTTGGCCGTGGCTGGGGAGCGTGGGCATGCGGAAGTGGTGAACTTCCTCACCGCCGCCGTGGAAGGGACATAATGAACCTGTGCATGCACGCATTCACAAGCGCCTGTCGCAGCTCCTGAGTGGCATCCGAGCGCAGAGCTGTCAGACGGGCGGAGGAAAGGACAACTGACCTCAGCAGATCTCAGCGGTCTCAGCCACACATGGAACATCTGCCCAAGCACGTGCTCTGAGCAGGAGCTTGCTGCCTTCTTCACCGGAAGCTCTCTTCCAAGTGGGGAGAGGAAGGATGAGCCGGAGATACAGGAGTTCCTGCTCGCAGCATTACATGGTCTCTCTGCCATGCCGTGCTGAGGAGACTCCGCAGAGGGACCAACGCCCATGGCATCCTCCGTTGCTTCCGCCGGCGCTTGCCACGGTCGAGGCGAGATGTAAACGATCGTGAGCTGACATTAACCGATGCGTGGTAGCACGCAACGGCATGGTGTCGATTGCGACATGTCATCGAGTTTCTGCAGTCAGGTTGAACAGGCTATCGTCAACGGTGTCAAGACCGACGAGGTGACCTACCATTTTCTCTGCACGGTTCAGCGATGTGCAGTATCATGTGTCAGAGGCCAGTCTTGGAGGTCTCACTGGGGTGGTGAGCAGTCTGTGAGTCAGGTCTGAGTGCATATGCATGGAGTACTGCGTGCCGAAGGTAGCTACCATGTCGCAACCGCTTTTCACGGACTTGGATGGCTCCGGAGCTCCTCAGATAAAACTAAACTGTTCCGACATCAACACCCGCCCGTCGGTCTGACATGCCTTTCTTCAGTTCAGGCATGTTTAGGATCATCCGTGCCAGAGCGGTCCCAGGCTGAGCCGGGAGACTTCTTCCTCTTTATCAAGGATACGGGATACGTCCTGCCGTGCTCCTTTGTGCCCTATGGTTGGTTATTGCCCGCTGTAAGCTCCGGCACCGCCTCGCTGTAGGGCAACTCCAAAGCAAGAGACCGGGTCGGGTGTCAGGATTATGGATGGAGCCTCCGATACCGAATAAGCCGTGCAGAGGACTCGGTGAATATCGAGAGGCACAGCGCTAATGCAACGGCGGAAGATGGCTGCACGGGAGTCGGGGCATGCCAGGCCACTTCTTCTGGACTGGATCAAGCTGCGACAGCCGGTTCGTCATCCATCAGACCTGCTAGAGGCGGGAGGAGGCACCAGTTCGGATCGTCTCTGGACCCGCCTCTCGTTCCCAGATCCCCAGCGCCGACCTCTTTCAGTGGGACGTCGTGGAGCCTCCGCGCCACAGCGGCTTCATGTACCAGGCGCACCGGACTCTTCTCCTAAGACCTCGTGCTTGAGCGAGCCTGATGGTTGGCATGACCGACAAGCGCGGCCACAGGGTTCGATTTCCAGGATTCCATGCAGGTCGTGTGGTTGATTCTTGCAGATTCTTGGGGTGGAGAGGATGCGTGTACTTTCTTCGGCCCGGGGGCCTGCTGAAAGTGCAAAGGTCGACAGCAGTTCGGAAGAAGGAGCCATTCTCGTCGCAACAAGCTTCTCTAACATCTTGTAATGCCGTGCTCGCAGACGCGCGCGCTGATCCTGCGATGCGACAAATGCACACATGGTGCAGCGACGAATGGGAGTCAGGGCGGGATCTATTCGAGTGGCGTCGTGCCTGCACCTGAAAGTTCCCACCATGCCATTGACGCGCGGTCCATCGATGCGAGTCTGGAGGATTAGTGTGGAGGAGACGCATCTCACAGGGTAGGAGATTTCCAGATTAATGCACATCAACTCAAGGATCTGAGAGGGGAACCTGGCCTTGTTCCGAAATCTACGGCTATGCCAAGGCCCTCGAGTCATCTCGAGTCCAGGCCCTAGAGACTGGCGCCGTTCATGTTTCCAGTCTAGCAGTACATGCTGGAAACAACCTCTACGTCTCCCGTAGCTGGAGTCATCCCGACCTGGGAGTCTATTCCCAGCGTGTACCCTGGAAGGTGACACAGGTGATGGGTTCCGGTGTCGAGGACCCGATTCTTCGATATCTCTTGGGACTCAAGATGAGTTTTTTGTTTGTGGTTTGCGATTGCTTGCAGTGCTCGGCAGGCGGTCATCAACTTTTTCAAGGATCGTGGCCCGAAGCTCCTCGTCCAGCAGGACAACCTCGAAGACTTGGGGTAACCGGTACAACTGAAAGAGGCAGATCGTACGAAAGTCGCACGTCTCAGTGTATCGCCGTGGCATCCACAATATTTTAGATCCGAAACGTCTCAACAGGACCAGCTGCTTTTCAAAAATGGGATAGCTTGGGCTTTCGCAGTTGGCTGTTTAAAGGTTCGTCTTTCGACAGAGAGAAAGTGCAAGCATGTGCAAGCAAGCCGCTACACAAACTCGCACGCCACCCCGGCTTCCTGTGTGTAGGCCAAGAGTTCGACTGCATGCCTGGTCGACGAACTCGGCACTAACAAGTACAATGGTTCATCATGGTGTCTAATACCGAGTATTTAAAAATATACTATCCAAGTGCCAAGATCCAAGATCGAAGATGGACGATCCAGAGTCTGAGTTGCAATATCAGTACCTAGTACCTAATGATTACTGGCTAATAGCTTCTCAGATCTAATACTTCCTATCTATCATCTAAGATGTAAGTACACATTTATATCAATGTGCTCGGAAATGGAAACTGCGAAATCACAGTCAAATACGCCGCTCCTGATACCGACGATTACTGGCAGCTCTCTCAGCTGAAATTGCTCATGTATCCGATCGGAGGCTTTACAGATATTGGCACGACCATTGTAAAGTCATTAACGGGTCGGGGCTCGTGCATGGTATGCACTGGTTAAGGAACCAAGCCGGTGGGTCTTGAATCTAGGTAAACATGTCATGGTGTGTGCAGAAACAGAGTTTTGCATGCTGTGTCTTGGGCTCGGATTTGGCTTGGACAAGTTTCGTGCAGGTTTAGGTTTGGGAGCTTTTCAGGGTTTAAGACATTCTCGGGCAACGCTCGAGTGTCAGCCGGGTGTAAGGGTTAGGGATGGGTGCAGGGCAGGCTGAGGGTTGAAGGCTTGTGGCGTGCTTTGCTCGCGCCTTTGGGTGTAGGGGGCGGGGTTTGCGCACGGTTCGGGTTTAGGGCTTAAGGGTGTATGCACGGTGTCGGGTTTAGGGTTTCTCTCTTTTTGCAGTGCAGGTTTGAAGCAGGTTTTAGTCTCATTGCCTGCAGCATGCATTTGCGCATGGTGTTGGCGAGCTTCGGGATTTGAGTTCGGTTTTACCAGTTCAGGTTTACTAGATCGACGACGGACTAGTGCGACGACGACCTCGACTAGTTCTGCTACTGCTGCTCCTGCTTCGATCGCAACCGCTACTGTAGCTGATAGTGCTACTGCAGCTGCTGCTGCTGCTGCTGCTACTAATGCTAACATCAGCAAGTACTTCTACGGCTGCTACGATTACTGCTCCTACTACTCCTGCTACTGCTACTGCTGCTGCTACTGCTACTTTGACTGCTGCTACCTTCACGTGTAGTGCATCTATGCGTGTAACTCTGCAATCGACCGGGCAGCGTCTCGGCTCGATCGCCTTTTTTGGCTTCCTATGCCCTCCCCTTCGCCTCTCCTCGCCTCGTTCCTTCGTCGACTGGTGCTTCCGGCTCGCCCGCCGACTTCGAGATGGCGCGTTGGGGGGCTTCGACTATGTGCGGGGCACTATGTCGTCGCCTACTTCACCGGCACCTTCGACCTCTGCTTTGGGTGGCACGGCAAAGCCCGAGCCTTCAGCTTCGCCTGCCTGGCTGGAGCCGAGATCACTTTTTGGACAGCTCGGAGCTCGATACATTGGGGCTGTCAAACCCTTGCTTTGCGCACCGAAAAGCACCGGGTGAGGAAAAAACAGCCAAAAGTCCACCTGGCAAAGCCATTTTTCAGAATTTTCATTCTCTGCGAAAGATCTGAAGTGCTGCGCTTGCGAGCAAGCCGACGTCTCGGTGGGGGCATGCAGGGCTTGATGCTCGGTTCGAACTTTCTTTGAGGATTCGGATTTAGGGTAGTTTGGCCTCAAGGTTTTTGGCTGCAGTCGATAACGCCACTCTGTGCAATGGTCCGGTCCCCGTGGATGTGGAGGTGGATTGTTGAAGTGGTTGGGTGTAAAATCCAAGCAATTGTTCGCTCTCCCGTCAGGGTTTACTGTTTAGGGTTTCAGGGTTTTGGCGTTTAGGGTGGTTGTTACTCGTGTAACTTGCTCCCTGTGTTCCCCTCCTTGAACCCTAAGTGTGCGTCTGATGGCGCGTTCGAGTTTTTACGTGGGATTGTAGTGGAGCTCAAGGTTGCTTGCTCCTTACAGGCCATGGAACAGCTTGGCGAGGGCCCCCGAGACCGTTCGCCCAGAGAGCGAAGTGCCGGTCGGAGTTCGAGCCGATGCAGTGGAATTAGTTCCCACTGGTCTCCGACTATTCGTGGGTCTAGAGAAAGCCCTCTTGGTATTCCACTTTCAACTTCTTGTGTGAGCGAGTCTTCTGCTCCGGCTGAGCCGGAGTACCTCCAAGCTCTGCCAATGTTAGGGTCCTTTCATTTTATATTGCTCTGCCATTCTAACCGCCTTCTGATATGATCGCTTGCCTTTCCCTTTAGGAGCTGGCTGACTTCCGTGGGTCAGATCATTGTGCTGTTTCGCTACGCCCATATTGGACACACTTCCTGCCGGCTGCGCAAACCGACAACCCTCACCTCTGGGAGCCTCTCCAACTCTGTAACCTCAGATTGCTCCCTCCCCGACTTGGGACAGGGACAACTCAGGCTGTGGCGTATGCCATGGCCAGCGAGGAAAATGCTGCCTGACCTCGCCTGAGCCGAGAGGCTTACAGAGCTCACAATGGCCACAGCAACAACAACAGCAACCCTCCGTAACTGCTTGCTCCATGTGTCCGATCTTTGGAAGCGTGATTTGGGCACTTTGACCGACTGTGTGATGCAACCCTCCTTCTCCTGATCCTCCTGCTCCTGCTCCTCCTCCGCCTCCTCCTCCTCCGCCTCCTCCTCCTCCTCCTCCCCCTCCTCGTACCACTACGACTGCTACTACCGCCACCACCACCACTACTCCTGCTGCTGCTGTTGGTGCTACCACTGCCACTGCTACTGCAACTGCTACTGCT